TTTGTAGCATTAGCTGCTGCTGGTAAAGAAGTAGAATGGCTAAGGAACTTGGTATATGAGATTCTGATATGGCCTAAACCGATATCACCAATTTCTATCCGTTGTGATAGTACTGCCACATTGGCTAAAGCTTATAGTCAAATATACAATGGAAAGTCTAGACATTTGGGTGTTAGACATAGTATGATTAGGGAATTAATCATGAATGGGGTGATATCTATTGAGTTTGTTCGGTCGCAACAAAACTTAGCTGACCACTTGACGAAGGGGTTAGCTAGAGACTTAGTGAAGAAGTCGGTAATTGGAATGGGATTAAAGTCCATTTAAATTTATTAGCTATGGTATATCCAATTCCCTTCTAATACAACGTTAGAAGCAGAATTTAATGTGGAAAGATCATAGTTAGAGATTGGAGCAATTGTGTTTATCTTCCCAAGGTATGTGCTCAGACCTGCAAGTGATGGCTAGGTTGAAGTATATCTTCTTAATGGTTCTTTTGGAAAACTGCAAATGTAGGTGCAAGATTAAAAGGATCACCTATGTGAGCATGAAGTTTTGCCGCTTAAAGAAGCTTGGACTTGACTTCCTATATGAAGGTGAGATAATACTTAGAAGGGGGGTTGAATAAGTATGAAAGATTAAAACTTAGAATTAAAAACACAATTATTTTTATCCTGGTTCGTTGAACTCAACTACTCCAGTCCACCCTTCCTAGAGTGATTTGCCTTTCTCAACAAGGACTTAATCCACTATTTAATCAAACAGATTACAATAGTAACACCTAAGAACAACTGTTCTTAGTCTTCTCAAGAGCTACTGATTCCAACTGAATCCTCTTAAGGAAATCCTTTACAATCAATGTAAATCTAATACAAGAGTATGAATGCTTCTAAAAATCTTTTATCACAACAGTGATATTTCTCTTAAGATTAAGTACAAATAATTCTAAGAATGAATATGAAAGTATGAGAGCTTGAATGTTATAATTTCTTTTCAGCAAAATGTCTCACTGAAGAATATGGTGGAGTCTTCCTTTTATAGGCAGCTGATCCAAGGAGAGCTGAACGTTGAGAAGAGTGTCCCAAAAAGGTCTGAGCCTTTTTGTCTTCACATCAAGTGACCTTTCCTAGAAGAAGAAAGCACAGAAAAATCTTTTTTGTCTGTGTTCTTGTGTCTAGCATAAATAAGGAAAGAGACGTTTGATTTACTCCAACAGATATAATCTTTGAATATTTCTTCTTCAGTTTTCAGCAAGTTCATCAGAATCTGATTGGGTCAGAGTCTTCTAATGATGTTCAGAACTTTGCTGTATCAGAGTCTTCTGCAGCATGTGTGCTTTCAGCGTGTTAATCATCAGAGCATATTTGACACAGAACTTCAGTACTGGCAGCTTTAGTACTTTCAGAATCTTCTGTAGAAACTATGCTTTGAAAAACTCTTCATACAATATTCTTCTTTGCTTCAGATGCTTCTGCTTTCTTCAGATTCTTCTGGAGCTTCTGCTTCAGAATCTTCTGGAGCTTCTTGCTTCAGATCCTTCTGGAGGCTATGCTCAGGATCTTCTGTTAGCAGCAATCAGAATCTTCTAATGAGTGCATCTGGCGCTTCAGAGTCTAGTTAATTTCTTGTATATAATTCTGATTTGCTTCTAGAGTGTTAATTTCTTTACTATCTGCAGTAAAAACTCTCAAGCAAATTTTAGAGTATATAATTCTTAAATACAAAATTTCCTAATAGTTATCATCAAAACAAAGAGATATTATTAAGAACCAATCTGTGTTCTAACACTATATGCTTATTAATGGATAAGGACACATGGCTTGTAAAGTGTCAAGTATGAATAGTAGAGTATTATAAGAAACATATGTGTACTATATCTTTAGATATTCAAACGGATTGACGGGTTCAAACGCTATGACACCCCGATTTTCGAGTATTTGGAATGGGTACTTGTACTAAGATGAAAATTCAATCGTAAGACATTTTCATCTATGCATTTGTTTGATTGTTATACCTGTGTGTTATACCCTTGTATATATTATTGTATATATGGAGTAAATCAAGGATTACACTAAAATGAGGGGGATTTGTTGGTGATTTTAGTATCATCAATGTATTTTAGTAGTAATGTGATTTATTGTAGGCCGATGCAATTATGCGTTAAGCTTGAAAATGAGTTAGGGTAGTGCGGAGTGCACGCTCGTCGAGTCAACGTGTAATTGAATGCGAATAATTGAAAAGGGGTTCCCTGGCGGGGTGCGGGGCAGCGCCCCGTTGGGGTTCCAAGGGGCAGAGCCCCTGGCTGGGGTCCCGCTGCCAGGTCAGTGGGCAGGGTGTGGGGCAGCGCCCCATTAGAAATTTTTGAACAGTTTCTGAACAGTTGAACCCGTTCGAAAATTTTGAACAGTTGTGTCTTTTCGGTTTCTGTTATTAATCTCTTATATAAGGAGTCATTTGACCTCAATTTTAACATACAAAAAACAAAAACCATACTTTCTCTCTACATTCCTGATCTGTTCTCTATTGTCAGAAGCAGATTGTTCTTCAAGAATTATCCCCATAAAGATTTCGTGAACCCAGGCAAATAATAGGGTCGAAATACTTTGTTCGGAAAATGTACGAACACGATTCCTCGAAGTTATCCAGGATTATCATACTCAAACATCTAACAAATTATCCTTCATAGGAAGCCTATTGAAAAATATCTCCATCTGAATGCTTTGACACTAAATGGCGCTGAAGAATTCCAAAGAGAAGAAAACACTTTGTTCAAATCTGCAGAAAAAATAGATCCGTACCAGTCCTCCCATGAGATACCGTAGCCCCATCTAACCAAATAGCCAACTTCCAGGTCTGGAGTCCAAATGAAGTTGTCAGCCTTATGCTCGAATGGAGTAAATTTCTCCAGTGAAGACTTGAGTTCCTGTACCATAGACAGAAATCCAATTTCAGAAACAAAATTTAAACTGAAATTACCCCAACACCATCTTCCAAGCTGCCAAAGACCGATGTCAGGTACCACCTTCTTCCATTTACTGGCTCGATAAAGCTCAGGAAAGCGAGCTTCAAAGCTGCTCCGACCTGTCCAAATCGCCGTCCAGAAAGGAATATTTAAATCGTCACCAAGCGAGTAACTGATGAGACCTGCAAAACCAATATCAGAATGAGAGATGGAGGCGTCAACTTTGTTAACATCCTTCCACCAAGCTGAATCACAAGATCTAAGGCCTTCCCTCTTCGACGAGAGAACAACAGTGCTAACAGCATCGAGCCGCAAGAACCTTGCTCCAAAGCACCTCCTTTTCAAATAGAAGCCTCCACTTTCATTTTTGTAACATAGCCAGGTTGAAATGCTTGATATCCTTCATCCCTAATCGTCCCACGGAAATAGGAGAGCAAACTTGATCCCACGCTACCCAATGGATTTTCTTCTTGGAATCATAGTCACCCCACAGGAATTGCTTTTGAATAGTCTCGATTTCCTTCCATACGTTTACAGGAGCTTTATAGAATAATATAAGAAAAATAGCCACACTACTCAGGACCAACTTTATCAAAGTGATTCTGCCTCCAAGAGACAACAGTTTTCCTTTCCATTTCACGAGTTTCGCTCTGATCTTGTCTTCCAAGAATTTCCACGGCTTGATACGACAAGGGTTGATCCCATTAAAAATCCGAAGAAACAAAAACGAGTTATTCTCAATTCTACAAGACAAGAAGTTTGCAGCAGCTAAAAGAAAGTTAGAGTTCACGTTCATCCCGATTACACTGCTCTTGAGAAAGTTGACACCTAGACCAAAGGCCAGTTCGAACCCTCTAGACACTGCTTTGATAGCCCATAAGTTGTTCCAGCTGCCTTCCCCAATGAACAACGTAACTGAAATAACTCAACCTTACAAAAACCTTTAAGATTGAACCTTTAAACTCTCCAATTTCCACATAATTTCTGAGTAATCCCACAAGACCTTCTGCTACAATGACAAAGAGAAAATTAGAAATAATCTCCCTGGCGAAGACCTATACGAGCTTCGAAATCCTTCGTGGGGCTGCCATTAACCAGAATCCAAATATGACTAGAAAACACAATTGCCTCCATCCACTGCATCCATTTGAGACCGAAATTCATTCTCTTCATCATATACCGCAAAAACTCCTAACTCACCTTCTCATAGGCTTTCATTGAAATCCGACATTGAACATAAGACAATCCTTTTGAATTTTCAAAGCAAAATCCGCCACTTTGTTTGCCACCAAAACGTCGTCCAATAGTTGCCTGCCAGGGACAAACGCAGTCTGGCAACTTGAGATCAGATGATCCAAAACCCTTTTTAATATCGATGCTAGCAGCTTGGATAAAATCTTCGGGACGCACCCAACCAAGGGATCATATCGGTGAGAGAAATAATAAATTAGAAATATTAATTAGAAGATATAATTAAAAGATCTATATTAAAATTACATTGAAAACTAAAAATTTAACACTTATTTAAAATAATTTTTTTAAAAATGCTTATTTTAGGATAAAGAGACTAATAAATAATTTAAATAGTTATTCTACAAAAGAGAATTTAGTGCATGAGAAATCTTTATATTGTCTTAACTCCTACAAATAAAGAAGCAAATAAGTTTTATTCAAAATAACCCCAACAAGATATAATTTCCTTGTACTACTAAAAAAACGTTTGTTTGTATATTATTTCATACATTTATAATTTTCATATAATTGCAGTATAATTCACGTTACAACAATTAATTACAATATAAAATCAAAACACATTAAAAGAAAAAGATTAACATCTATCGTGAGAAAGATAACAAGTTCAAATTTCCTTTCCACACTCCCGCATAGAACATATCACCCCATTTCCCTCTCCTTCGCCATTTCCATAGCTTTTCTGTTTCTTCTATCTTCTCTACTTGCACAAAACTCTCCAAAACACTTATCATTATCCCAACCATACACCCTCTTTATCTTTCTCACTCATGCATAATTAACCGCCATGTATATATCAACATCTTCTCTTCTCGGCACAACCAATACTAACACACTCTTTTCTAGAACCTTCTCCGCTTCTCCTCCTTCTCTAACTGCCTACTCATCTTGCACTTCTCGATCATTCACTTGTTCCTTTCACCGCCTGCGTTGTAATTCTTCTCCCACTCTTCGTCCTCAGATCAAAGCCGTCGCTCCTGCAGTAGAAAGTTTCCACCACAAAATCGGTAGGTTACTAGGTTACTTCAATACTCATCACCGTTCGGTTTAATTGACCAGTGGTTTATTCATTTTTCCATTTCGGTTTCCTGTTTTATGTTTATCAGAATTTTGTTGATTCAGTTTCAGGTTATGGAATTGCTGTGATTTTGTAATTTGCACTGTTTTAACTGTTTTTGGATAAAGATTAGTCCTTATACTATTGCTATTTCAACAATTTAGTCCATACATGTGGATACTGGTTGAACAAAATAAAATATTAAATGTAATCAGAAGTGTTGACATCCATCATAGACACACTTTTACTGAGAGGTGTCCGTGTTATATAGACTAAAATTCTTTAAACTATTATTTCATTCAACTATTTAACCTCTAACCACACTAAATAGTTGGATGAAAGAATAATTTATGGATCTTTTAGTTTCTTTTGTAGTTTGGCACTAAATTGATAGGGAGTGATAGTTTACGGACTAAATTGACTTTTTATTCATATTTGACGTACAATTAAGTTTCTAATATTCGACTGTGACTTTTATGCTGTGGTTGGTTATTGCAGCCACAGAAAATCCCTTCAAGGGAAACTTGACAAGTCTTCCTAGGCCAGGTGGTGGCGAGTTTGGAAAATTCTATAGTCTTCCTTCACTCAGTGATCCAAGAATTGGTAAATTTCCTAACTTGGCTTGGCATCTATGAATTCCTGACACAACATGGTACACCGAACACGATATTGACACGTATACAATGATAGTAATCTGGAAAATAGATATTGACACGTATACAATGATTACAATGATAGTAATATGTAAAATGGAAATTATTGAATGTAAACACTTGTGCGACAACGAATACGCATTGCCTTTAATTCGAAGTGTCCGTACCTCGGCATGTTATATTTCATGGCTTAAACCATGTTATTTGTTATTTATTTATTGAATCTAATAGAATAGTAGTATTGGTTAAAGCATGCGACATTTATAGTTTTATATGAAGTTTGTAATTTCATATTAATATTGTCCATTATAGAAGATTACTTTCATTGATGTGTGATGTATTAAATTACTGTTGATATCAACTTTATGTATGTATAACAGACAGGTTACCATACTCGATTAGAATTCTCCTTGAATCCGCCATTCGCAATTGCGATAACTTCCAAGTCACTGAAGAGGATGTTGAAAAGATTATTGACTGGGAAAACACATCTACTAAGCAAGTTGAGATTCCTTTCAAGCCTGCACGTGTTCTCTTGCAGGTAAATTGTCAACTTCTGAAATCTAGATATGGTGAAATATTTATATTACTCAAGTGTAATATGTTATCTTCATTTGAAAACTTCTTTTATCTCCTTAGGATTTTACTGGAGTGCCAGCTGTTGTCGATTTGGCCTGCATGCGAGACGCTATGAATAAACTTGGCAGTGATTCAAACAAAATCAATCCTTTGGTATTCATCTTTCTTATCACATGCTGATCTTTATGAATGAATTCACTGATGACAGTGACCAAATGGTTCACTTTTTTTCAGATTTACTTTTGTACTATGACACCATTATTTGTTATGCACAATACAAAAATGTTTTTGAATCTCATATATTGTTATGTGTTTAGCTTTCGTGGCTAACTGAAATAACCATTGGTGAAGTTTGGATTTTTTTACTTGGTGAATAAAACTTGGTTCATCAATGTTTGAATAATTACCAACATTAAGTTTGGTAACTAGTTCATTTTGCATAGTTGTAAGGTTTTTGGAGTACGAAAAATGTAATCTTAGAAGTATTTCCTTGTATTTTATGTTTTATTAGAAATGATTCTGAGTTGTAATTGTTGGTAGGTTCCTGTTGATCTCGTCGTTGACCATTCAGTTCAAGTTGATGTGGCAAGATCAGAAAATGCAGTGCAGGCTAATATGGAACTTGAATTCCAAAGAAACAAGGAGAGATTTGCTTTTCTTAAATGGGGATCAACGGCATTCCATAACATGCTCGTTGTTCCTCCTGGTTCTGGTATCGTACATCAGGTAAGTTTGGAAGTAAACATACAAAATGAGTGTGTGGTAGTTAAATGTCTTTTTTGTTTTGTAAATATTAGGGACTTGTGATGTGATGTTGAGTTCCAGGTCAATCTTGAATATCTTGGAAGAGTAGTTTTCAACAATGAGGGCTTACTCTATCCTGATAGTGTGGTTGGGACTGATTCACATACAACTATGATAGATGGGCTTGGTGTTGCTGGATGGGGTGTTGGAGGTATTGAAGCCGAGGCAGCAATGCTCGGTCAGGTACATTACCTTAGTTTTTATTTTGATATATACACATGTTATATAATGAATGTTAATTTTATCCAAAACACCAATGGTTAATGATTGTCCATGGCATATATATCTCATTAGAAGTATTTATTTTCTTTCTTTAAATGAGCATGTATTGTAGTTAAAGTACAGTGTGATGATTCTAATGCCATGTGCTACAATACTTGCAGCCCATGAGCATGGTTTTACCTGGAGTTGTTGGATTCAAGCTATCTGGAAATCTGCGCAATGGTGTTACAGCAACTGATTTGGTTCTAACTGTGACACAAATTCTTAGAAAGCACGGTGTTGTAGGGAAATTTGTTGAATTTTATGGTAATTAAATACTTAACTCTCAAGGCCTACTGCTAAATATTTGTTTTCTCCATTTTTCATCATAGGATTACTGTCCTTACTAACAGTTTTCATGGTTTCATTCAATAGGTGATGGTATGAGTAAATTATCTTTAGCTGACAGAGCAACTATTGCTAACATGTCTCCTGAATATGGCGCCACCATGGGCTTCTTTCCTGTGGATCACATTACGTTGCAATATCTCAAGCTAACTGGGAGAAGTGATGAGACTGTAAGTGCAGTCATCCCATCTACTATTAGCTATGGGATGCCCATAGAATAGAACTATTTGACTTGTATTCTGTCTGATCACAGGTAGCGATGATAGAGTCTTATCTCAGGGCAAACAGACTGTTTGTTGACTATAATGAGGTATGTTAGTATATTCCAGTTTCCTTAGACACCCTTTTTTACAAAATGACATGTATATATGTTGTGGGAATGCTAATTTCTTTTCCACAATATCAGCCACAACAAGATAGGGTATATTCATCATATCTTGAATTAAACCTGTCCGACGTAGAACCATGTATCTCAGGACCAAAGAGGTAAGGTCCCTGGTCTCTTACATTCTCCTCAGTCTGTTGATGTGTTTTTAAACAATTTCCATCCTATTAGTATTATCAACCTAATAATGCATACTGAATGGTATTCTTTCAGACCCCATGACCGGGTTCCTTTGAAAGAAATGAAGGCCGACTGGCATACATGTCTTGATAACAATGTTGGATTTAAGGTTAGTAATGCCATGACATTCAACTTATTGCCTCATGTTTTGGTGTTGTGTGAAGAAAATACGATTTTGTACTCTGTAACTTGAATTAGCCATTGATTGTTAGTTTTAAGCAAAATTGCCAAGTACATACTGCCATCTGGTTGTTTTAGTTATAGAATGCTGATTTGATTAAAATCTAGTCTCAGTTTCAGTACTTGTCTGCAGTAGTAAACCAGCAAATAGTATTATTTAATCGTTCATGGTTGTTGACCTGGATTTTCATAGGTGGATCTATTGCATCCGACACATTGGCTAAAACCATTTTGTTTGTGCAATGTCAGACCATCAAACATCAATATATTTTTAATATGTTCATTCTAACTGTTTGAAGTGTAGACCTTTGACTTGCAGATTCAGTATCTCTCACAAAAATCTTTAGAATATATAATATAAGGTTCATTTTTATGTTTGCGTTACTTCTGTCTGCCTGTTTCGTCAACTTACTCAACTCCTGAAGTGACAATGCTATATTACTGATATAATTATCAACGTCGTTTATGACATTCACTTGTAACTTATATTTATCAAATTGGTGGTGATTTTCATCTTCAATGAGCGTCAAGCTAATTGATTTCTTTGGTATAATACGTTATCTGATCTTTGAGAAATTCAAAACTTTTCTTTATTCTCAATATTTTTCATGCTACTATTTTTTCAAGACTCTCTCCTGGTACCTTATTAATAGCAAATCTGTCAAAGGCACTGTTTAATCTGATTATGCTTGCTTTTTCATTATTGATATGCAGAAGTGGAGTCATCCTTGTTTCATAGACTGTTGCTTTATCAGAAGCATAGATGAGTATAAGATGCTAATGTATGTTATATTTAAATGCAGGGATTCGCTATACCAAAAGAAGCACAGGGAAAAGTTGCGAAATTTGATTTTCATGGGCAGCCAGCAGAGCTCAAGCATGGTAGTATAGTGATTGCTGCAATCACAAGTTGTACGAATACATCAAACCCAAGTGTTATGCTTGGGGCTGGCCTTGTTGCGAAAAAGGCTCATGAGCTTGGTTTACAGGTTAGTATAACAATGTTACGTCTCTCCTTTGTTGTGTTTGTTTTTGCTTCCATTAATAAACAGGACGGATTGTTTCTCTGATCCGTGGTACTTTCCTTTTTAAATTTTAATCATTGTTGTTTTTTTTTACTATTTTGCCAGGTCAAGCCTTGGGTTAAAACAAGTCTTGCTCCAGGCTCTGGAGTTGTTACTAAATATCTACTCCAGAGGTGTTTTGTACATCTTACTCGAATTCCACTACTGTAATTTATATCATTGTGTGTTCCTTTCCAGTCTGCACATTTAAGGAAACTTCAACCTATATTTGTATTTGTTTCTACTTTATGACAGTGGTCTGCAAAAGTATCTGAATGAACAAGGTTTTCATATTGTTGGATTTGGCTGTACAACATGCATTGGCAATTCAGGGGATCTGAATGAATCTGTTGCTTCTGCCATCTCAGATAATGGTCATATTTCATAACAAAATGCTATTTATTTGAACTGAAGCTGATTTCTATGCAACACTTGTATTTCTATAATTTTTTTTAAACATATATATCCTCCTAAACATATTCTGCTTTATATTCTTGTCTTGTTGATTTTTTGTTTGTTTTTCGGATCCAGACATTGTGGCAGCTGCTGTGTTGTCTGGGAACCGTAATTTTGAGGGCCGAGTTCATCCCTTGACAAGAGCTAATTATCTGGCTTCACCACCTCTGGTTGTTGCTTATGCTCTTGCTGGCACGGTACGTGTGTCTAATTCACATTTCAGACGCGTTTCTCCATTCTTTTTGCTTCTTTCATAGTATTATCTGATTTTCATCTCTTTCTGTAAAAGGTAATAGTTGTCTGACTCATTTGTTGGAAGTAAAGAGACAAACATAAGATTATTGGAGGCTAATAAAAGACATTGGTATTGGTGTTAGTTAAATAATATTCATATGTTTGTGATTTGCATGAACCAGCAGCCTTAAGTCATCTGTAAGGGCTGGGTATATGTGCTGCTGGCTAAGGGTTATGAGAGTCGGCCCACCAGGCTCGGGCTTAATGAAGTGATCCATTTACACGCAGACCTATACTGGTTTGTCCACTTAACCAGCGAATGAAACCAACTTGGTTATTACTCCCTCGTTAGTTTTTAGTTGTTGTTTCAAGGTTACCAAATAATTTCTTAATCTATTCTAGTAATCTTTTATATACTCTCATTTGGGAGCCTGGTTTTGAATTCAGGCATCAAAATTGTGCATGTCTGCATTATGATACAATAAACACTATTATTTTGTTCTTTTCTTTGTGTATGGAATATTGTTTCAATTTTTTTTCCTCACAGAGAATGTGTTATCAAAGACCAACATTATCATGAATGTTCTACCGACTATCGTCTAAGCTTTTCTTATAACCTTCTTTAGTTGCTAGGGTGCATATTGTATTTATTTTATGACAAGGTTGATGAAATTTAAGTTTGAAATATATAAGATCTACAATTTTATAATTTCATCAAGTTTCTTTTGATAAAATTTCCAGGTTGACATTGATTTTGAGAAAGAGCCAATTGGGACAGGGAAGGATGGCAAGAATGTCTACCTGAGAGATATCTGGCCATCTACCGAAGAAATTGCAGAGGTGAGTGACACCTAAATTGCTCATTACATGTAATTTTGGTTTAAATATTTGCCAATGCATATGTTGTATGGCAAAAATAACTTTGGGTGACTTTATTTGTAGACTGTTCAATCTAGTGTGTTACCTGACATGTTCAGAAGTACATATGAGTCTATCACAAAGGGAAACCCTATGTGGAACCAACTACAAGTACCAGCTGACACTCTCTACTCTTGGGACTCCGACTCAACATATATTCATGAGCCTCCATACTTCAAGAACATGACCATGGATCCTCCCGGATCTCATGGTGTGAAAGATGCCTATTGCCTGCTAAACTTTGGTGACAGTATAACCACCGATCATATTTCTCCAGCTGGAAGCATTAACAAGGACAGTCCTGCTGCCAAATACCTCCTAGAGCGCGGGGTTGAATGCAAAGACTTTAATTCTTATGGAAGTCGTCGTGGCAATGATGAGATGATGGCGAGGGGAACCTTTGCCAACATTCGCCTTGTTAACAAACTCTTAAACGGGGAAGTTGGCCCTAAGACAGTTCACATTCCAACTGGGGAGAAGCTTTATGTGTACGATGCAGCAATGGTGAGTTATGCCTTACTCAAGTATGTCATGTTATTTGTTTACTATTTAGAACTCTTCCAGTGGAAAATCATAGCTTATTCTATATGATATTTTCTGGTGCCAATGGCTTTCTATATTTCTTTTCAAACTACCCGTGTTAGTGTCTTTTTGACAAAGTGATACTTTTCAATTACTATCTTTACTGGACCTGTTTGCTTCTGTGGGTGTACCACATCAAGTTTTGCTTATTCAAATAGATACACTTCTTATTTCAAGCTCCGCAAAGCTTGATAATCTGGCATTTGGCAAGGACATGCGGACATTATATGTTGATTTAGTGGCATACTCCCTTTTCCTCTCCCCAAAGAGTGTTGTTTGTAATAATTAGTTTATTTCAGTTGTGTTAAGTTTCTATTCTCCTGGATTTGTTCTCTTTTATCAGAGATACAAGGCTTCTGGGCAAGACACCATTGTTCTAGCTGGAGCTGAATATGGAAGCGGAAGTTCTAGAGATTGGGCGGCCAAAGGTCCAATGTTATTGGTGAGTTCTTTTACAAGTTGTGATCAGTTGGGGTTTTTATTTGACTTCCTTAAAATATAAAGGTCAATTTCTTGGTGTATGATACATTTACATTTCAACAGGGGGTCAAAGCTGTGATAGCTAAAAGTTTTGAGAGAATTCATCGCAGTAACTTGGTAGGAATGGGTATTATTCCTCTTTGCTACAAACGCAGGGAGGATGCAGATACATTGGGATTGACTGGTCATGAACGTTATACAATTGACCTTCCAAATAAAATCAGTGAGATCAAGCCTGGCCAAGATGTCAAAGTCACAACTGATAGTGGAAAATCGTTCACCTGCATTGCACGCTTTGACACCGAGGTAATTTAAGCTTTTCGCCAATTTTATAGTGTTTGTTGCCGATGAACCAAGCTACTCTTAAACATGCTCTGTTATAACCTGTTTTTTATCCTTGGTTTTATGCTTGATATTCAGGTGGAACTTGCTTACTTCAACCACGGAGGAATTCTTCCATATGTCATACGTAACCTCATTAAGCAGTGAAGCTGTTGTTGATGGAAAACTCCAAGGTCATTCATTGTCATCGGAAGCTATACAAGTTGTACAGTGTCGTGATTTGTAATAGATAGGGAAAGATCCTTTTAAGTGTAGTAAAATTTGACACTTTCCTAGTATTTATCAATTAGGCTTATGCTACTTGATTGTAGGTTTCAGTTTTTTGGGTGCAATTTATATGTAGCCATTGAAATTGGGGACAAATTGTATAAGCAGATGTGAACCTTTGCGATTGCCGGTGGCATTTGTTTGCCGAAGTACCCAGTGGTAAATATCAAGAAACTGGTTCAATGACTTTCGTGATAGTAAAGTTGAGTTTGAATTATCATCAAAGATGGATTTTGGTAGAATTAAAAGAATGCATGATTATATACGATATATTTCATGTAGAGTTTATTTAAAAGTAATTATGTATTTTCATTTACTTTCACTCTTAATCACAATATCTCATGGAAATTTTAATCCAACTAGTTAGAGTATCTTTAGTGCATGTTCTGTAGTATTAAATTCTTTAATAATAACAGTAGTTATAAACAATTTGTATTGGAATAAGAATGACATGACACTAAGTGAACTAACAATTAATCTTCGGCAATTATATAACCAACGCATACTATCAAATTTCAATAACTCTAATTATTATTTTATATTATTAAAATATAAAATATGGGGTCAAATTTTGATTTTTTTACCAACAACCATCATTAAAGTAAAACAACTCAAATTAACTATAAATATTTTAAATCTTACAAATCACTTTGACCCCATAAACAATATCTTAATTTCACTAAAGATGCTCTTACATGCTTTTTAATTATAATTAAATAGCTCTTAAGAATATGTTGCTTATTTTAAAAAGAGAAATGAATCCGTGTGGAATCACTCAAAGAACACTATAGCTATCACTGTCATAACCATATTTATATCACTATCGATCAAATAAGAGATCAATAATTGAAATGTGAGAAAAGTCAATGTTTTTGAGATGACTAGTTACATTTAGTCTGTTTCTCAAACCTTATGATTTTTTTTTAATGGATAGATAATGATACATGATACTTATCCTTGTATTTTAATACATTATATTTTACTATGTGGTAAGAGATTTTTATGAGTTGTTTTATTGTTTTTACTTTTATTTTTGTTTTTATTTTAATTCGATTAATTATTTTTTAAATAAGTGATAATTTGACACCTTTTTGTGCATGTCATCACTTGAGATACAAGATGTAATTTGACGTATTCTAATATGTTTTAGAAAGGTGAGAGAATAAACTACAAATTTTGTGTTGAAGTCAGAAATTAATTCAAAATGCAGAAGAGTCAACTATTGTGTTTTCATGTAAGACTTAGTAAAATAATTAGTTTTAAACCGAATTTTATGTTTTTTGGGGTCGGTTGCTATTAGGATCCAGTTTATATTGTAATATTTAAACTAAAATGCAGGGCTACTGCTGGATCATCCAACATTCACAAAATTACATTAGACGACTATGAAACCATTGAAGAACTAATCACCTAGGTTGATCTACTGGTTCGTGTTCCACCGATACTTTAAGGTTATATAATTTTCAATTTTAATTTCTTTTCAATTTTGCTTGTGAATTCGATTGCTTTTATTTGCTTAATTCAATTGTCGTTTGCTGCTTAAAGGTTAGATTTGATTGAATTCGATTGTGTTTATCATCCTTATCTTTAACTGCGTTTGACGTAGTTTTTTCGCTAACATAAATTTTAACTGTTTGCTTAATTCTGAAAATAGGATCATAAACTATATATAGTATCAATTGTGCTTGTTTAATCGATATTATAATCAAATATGATTGAATGCGCTTAGAGAATTGAAATTATAATAATAGATGATAAGTTGGGGACTCGAAACAATAGATTAACTTGTTTATTTTATTTGTGATCAGTTTCTTTTAATAAATAGCATAATCGAAAATGTTAAATTCCCCTATTTCAATCGGTTGATTAAAACAATTAAGAATTCTTGAAATACGACTCGGGTGTTGCTTCTATTTATTACGTTTTCTTATCTATGAGATAATATCCTAGAACAGCATCCGAGAGGTAATATCTAGACGACAAAGACTCTTTTAATGTTTGTCTCACTGCAGCTTTTATGTTCTACAATTACTTTGTTATTTGCTTGGCTAGTTGATGTGAGACTTAGAGTATTGTTGTAATGCATAAATCAATCATGCCTTATATTCTTCATTATATTTTGTTGCTTCTAACCATGATATAATATTTAATTTAATGCAACAACTATAGAAGTATAACAATTCTCTCTCCAACCTTTTGAATTTCTCCTCATCTTATGTCTTTATTGTTGAAGCTTAACAAAGAATCTGCGGTGGAAAATCAACCTATTTTGTTTTGTACATATCATATTATGTTGTGTACAACTCATAGAATTTAGGTAAATTAACATATTTTTCTTTGTACATACTATATTATATTGTGTACAACTCATAAAATTTTAGATAAATTTTAGGTAACAAAAATTGACAAATCGTTCAAAGTGGAGACTGAATCTTTTTCAACCCGCTTATATGACGGGAAATCTTTTCCTACGCGTGATCATTGCAAAAGGTCAGACCATACTAAAGAAAACGTTGGATCATACATTGAAAATCTTTGGAAGCCAGACAATTCAAAAGCAAGGAAGACAATGATAATACAACTTTTAACCATCAAAAAGTTAGGGTAAATTCTAACTCATCTCCATTCATCTAAAGAACAAATGGAGGCATTTCAAAGACTCTTTCATCAAACTATGATGGTTGCATAAAAAGTTGGTATTGCTAATGTGGTCTAAAAAATTAATGAATCATTAACTCAAAAGCTTTAGATCACATGACTGGTGACTTTACTTTGTTTAGTAGTTATTATTCTTGTCCTTATAACTATAATGTATGGATAGTTGGTGGGACACATGTTAAGGTCACGAGTAAATTATCAAGTATTTTTTTTCAAAATATTACTCTTTACTCTATTTTATATGTGCAAAACTCGATTGTAACTTGTTGTCCATTAGTAAGATTACATGGGATTTGAAATGTATTACTAAATTCTTCCCTAACTTGTGTGAATTTCAAATTTTGGAGTTGGGAAAAATGATTGGCAATGTTGAAAAGTGTGTTGGACTTCACCTCTACAAGTTGAAAAATCTAAGAAACTCTCTTATGCGGTAGCAACTATTTCAATTAGTGAATAATTTATAATGTTGTGGCATTATAGATCAGGCTTCTCAAATTTCAAGTACTTGAAAAAGTTTTTTTTACCTCATTATTTAATAAAAATCAGAAATATTTTTTGAATGAAATTTGCAAATTGTTTACACATACTCACAACCTTTACCCACTCAAACCCTATAAACCAATTAAACGTTTTTCATCAATTTATATTAATGTACACACACGCGCGCGCGCGCGCACACACACACACACATTACTGGCTCAAATTAGTTTGTCACCTTAGAAGTATACAATATTACTGGCTCAAGATAGTTTTTCACCTTTATCAACAACCATACACGCGTCACATGAGTGTTTCTAATGAAGGAAAAATTATAAGTAGGAAGGCTATTTGAAATTTTCATAACATGGTGCAAACACAATTTCAAAGTAAATTCAAGTATGAAGAATTGACAATGATGTAAGTACTACAACATTTCTCTAAATTCTTATCCCCCTAAGGTTAAAGGTGTTCACCAAAGCTCGTATGTGAAAGAATAAACACCTTTTAGAAGTAACTAGATCAATCGTACTATCTATTAATGTTCCAATTTTTTTTTTGGGAGAAGTTGTCCTTTCAGCCACACACCTCAAGAGCATAATGCCGTATCGTATCCTTAATTTTAAAACCCATATTTCTACACTTCAAACCTCATTCCCAACCAATAAGATTTTTCTTCCGTTCGATTAAAAATATTTGGATGTTAAGCTTTTGTCCATAATCTCAACCCTCACCGTAGTAAATTGCACCAAAACTCCATCAAGTTCATTATTGTTTATTACTTTCCTCACCAAAAAAGATATATGTGTTACTCTCTCCAAATTACGAAATTCCATCATACTATGGATATCACTTTCTTTGAAAACCAACCATATTACACCAAAGTTGGCATTTAGAGGAGCAACCACACATATATCCGATTAAAAGTTTACAATACTAACTTTTGGCACTTGAGGAAATTTAACTTGCACAAATTTTACCATACCGGACCTCCAATACTCAACCTTTAGTAACTGAACTCACAAAAATTATACCATACCAAAACCTAAATACTTAATTTGAACTTGCAAAATGTTATCAGATCAAGCTATTAATACTCAACTAGATAAACTAGTATCCAACTCATTTAAAAGGACCACCAAAATTGAATAGAAGAGTTAATTGTTCAACTGCATATAAACATAACTAAGGTCGAAAATCACAAGAGGGTATTTGGAAGACTTATGAAAGGATAATGAAGGAAGTAGATTTAAGCACAACTCTGATGCAAAACCATGAGTCCAATTAGGCTATTGGAAATTGATAACACGAAATCATATAGATAGTTTCATGCATAATTCGACTAAAAGCTAACCGTTTTCGATCCGATTTCGGGTTATTTCCATGTATTTGTCTGATGTTTTTGCAGGTATTCAACGATCACGTCTAAACAAGGCAACATGAAGAAAAGAAGCGATTCCAGATGAAATATGGACGAAAAGGAGTGAGAACACAATGAAAAGCGCAACAGACAGTTTTTGCTGATGTGACGACCGTCACAGATGCATGACGACCGTCACACGGGTGACGACCGTCACACCTTGTGACGACCGTCATGCAGGCAAAAACGCCCCACTCAGATTACACGTCAAAAGAGCAGTTCCAATTCCCATTAAATGGTCCACTACTCCCTAAATTATCTGCCTCAAGGTCCATCATCCTCAGAGGTAACCGTTGGAATTCCACTTCTATAAAAAGGGAAGCAG